AGCACTGACGATGATTCATTCGGAATCGCAATATGGCCTTATTTGCAGCATGAATTCGAAAAATAAGTTTATTTTGAATTTTAATAAAATAAACGTTCACCAAAAAACTTTAGTGAGAAAAATCGAAAAAACGAAACATTCGGTAGAATTTATAGAATATTGTAAAAATATATATATATATATATATATATATATATATATATATATACGCATACCAACATTCTGGTAACACGTGGTAAAAAATATTTTATGTAATTTTATTTAATAAAAAATATTATACATTTCCCAAAATTATTATTAGATAGCATAACAATAAACCGTACTCACAAAAATAAGAAATAAAGAAAATATACAAAATAAAAATCCTTAAAGTTAGACAGAAACAGACGCATGTTGCTTTATCGTGGAGTGGAAAAATAACTAACATGCCCAGCCACTAAACTAGAATTTACATAAACGTTTATGAAAAAACCAGGCAAAGACGTTTATCTGGAGAAAAAATTTGGTGAAGCAATAAACCTTTAAAATAAAGAAGACGGTGAAGAGAATTGATGTAGTCTCATCAAACTTACTAGTGAAGATAAACCAAAGAACTTAATGACAAATTATGTTACTTCGTTCACCCAGAACCATAAAATTGAAAATGTAAAAATATAACTAACAGTCAAATGATTCTCAACAACTCACAACCACTAAAATTAATTAATATTGAATAAGATTATTAAATTCATTCCAATACTAGTTTTTAAAATGTTGATATATATATATATATATATATATATATATATATAGGAAGACCATATTTTAATATATATATATAGGTACGTAGGTCTAAGAGCGCCAACAAATTTGATATTTTGAAACATTAAACTCATAAAAACATACACAAATATACATACACGTTCAATTGAATTGTCTCACCATGATATCAACATTATAATTAATTATACAACTAACGATGTTAGTACGAAAAAAAAAAAAATTTAAATAAAACACTATCGATGCATTGAAAAGTAACATGATCAGTGGTAAATCCAAGTTACAGCTAGCAAGTGGCTACTATATATACACATACAGGCGCATCCACATATACACTCATCACATCTCCTTTACCTCCTTGATCCAGCGACCCCCAATATACACATACAAAAACATATTTGCACACACATGTACAGACAAATATATATGTACATTGAACACATATACAAGCGCGCGTACACATTTCATCGCGTATTTACAGGTATAACGTAACTCTGCATTCGATGCGTTGATAAAAAAATCCAGAATGAACATTTTTTTTTAAATAAATAAAAATATAATAATAAATTTAATAAATGAAATGAATAAACATATAGATTTAATAACAATTTATTCAATATGTACACTAAAGATAAGCATTTCATTGAGTTCTCATAGATGAAAAAACGAACATCGATCCTTACACATTTAACATCAGTAAAAAATGAATTAATGAACACTGAAAATCCTCGCAAAACAAAGTAAATTTAATGAACAACATTACAAATAATAAAAATACATATACACACATAAGTGGCATGTTTGCTAGCTAGCAACACACACACAAATGTAAATATATATAAATGTTTTATTCAGTTCATCGCGATTTCACAGCGTCAGTCCTGTTTGATATAAAGGAAAAAAAAATAAATAAAACAACGTCAGTTATTGGAACATTTAAAAAATTATGATGAATCTATTTTTCTTAAACTTTTATTACTCGTTATCATTCGTATCATTTATTGTATTCAATTGAAACGTATTAAACAAATCCAGAATAAATCATTTTACATCAGTTTTAAGCTTTATACAATTTAATTACCATCAAGCCATCCATCAACTGAGCTAAACGTGATGCAAAAAAGCTGATTCACGCTACAAGCAACAACAGAAGAAATATGCATCCATTATAATTAAGAATTCCTTCGAACATATAAGCAACCATAAAACCAGAGAATGAGGCAATGTGAATTCAAACATAAAAATGCCAACAAAATATACAGACAGATAAACGAACAGGTGAATGAATGATGATCCACTAGTCACAAACATACCCACGTACGCACGCGCACACACACACACACAGACAAGAAAGCAAAGCACACATTAATTAATCTTCAAAATCAGTCTCGGCGTGCATACCGTTGGTAGAATGTTGCTGGATAGCGGCTGCCAAAGTAGACGGTGGAAGATTTGATAGGGTCGTTATAGCTATTGATGCATTCAGCTGACTGTATAAGCTACTGTTTGCTAGGCGATTTTCGTATATTTTGGCTTTTTTTGTACCCTGTGTTATAACATTTAAACTTAAATTACCCTAAGGTTGTTTTTAAAGAGACACAATGAACAGAAAATGACATTACTGAAACTAATAATGATATTTAAACAAAATACTGAGGAGGAAATTATCTCATTATCTTTTTACTTGCAAATGTTTTGTTAGATTGGTTGAGATTATAGGTTTTTCAAGTACTAAGGCACAAACAACTTAAATAAAGGATGGTGAGAATTCTGAATTGACTAAGGCATGGTGACCTTGACATTATCAAATCTTATTTTGCACCTTCTAGACTCAGCTGTTTACTTATATAAAAGTGTCCAGAAGACATAAAATTAAATCTAGATAGCAGAGAGAGAGGTCATCATTCTTTCCTAGGATTGACAACCAGCAACTATAGCAACCATCAGTAGCAGTGGCGAGAATGAGGATGTCACATACGATATGAAGATGAAATTTTTTATCTTTTTAACATCTATCACAAAATATTGGATGAATTACAGTTTCATATACCAGTCAAATTACATTTGATGTTGGTTAAGCCATTGTCAGAAGACAAAGTTCATTTTGTCATTGATTTTGGATGATATTCATTTAAAAGATGGTCGAAGATAATTCCTCAAACTTCAGCTTTTGCTTCATTTTTGAGCGTTCTTGGCGTGGAAAAAGCTAACAGAGAAGAGAATAACGCAGATTTATAATGCGTATTTTGTAATGATATTATTATTGAACTCTATAAAAATAAAGTTAAACTTTTTTTTATAAACTTTTCTAACAAAAACTCAACAAAGAAAAGAATGAAAAACAAATGAATAAATAAATAAACAAATGAATAGATTGATAAATGGTTAAAATGAACAAAAAATCATTAGCAAACTACCATATTAAAACCTTTCATAGCTTCACAGTACTTCTGTTTCTCCTGCTCAGCCAGTCTGGCATAGGGCATTTTATCTATGTTTGTCATTTTTCTCCACTCCTCTCCAGCTGCAAAAAATCATTGTAAAATATTCTATCATCAAAAATTTTTTGACAAAGCAGAAGACCTCAATGTACTCTAATAAATAAGTGGCTTGTTAACGTGCTATCGCAGTAGCTGGTATCGAATACAAAGAGATTCCAGTCTGTCCTATAAAATGTGTGATGCATCGATATCATATATTTACATAGCCTCTCTGTTTGTTGTCGACACCTCTGATAAACACTAAAGAGAGGATTTCAACATTAAACATGAAAAAAAGTATAGCAAGTATGATACAATAAACATACCAGCTCTTAGAAGCTCTTTATTCTCAGCAAATCTACTTTTCATCTGGGCCCTAAAGTCCAGTAGCCATATAATATAAGCTGACCTGGGCCTCTTTGGTCTGCCACCCTTTCCTGTTAAACTGCCAACCTGAATGAAGACAGATGATAAAAGAATAAATAAATAATTAAATAAATAAAAACATAAATAAACAACAACAAAACAATCAATGAAAACAGGGCCCTACCTCTCCTCTTTCAGTAGTAGTGATGGTGATAGGTGATGTAACCTGAGGAAGAGATGCAAGTGACGTAGAGGATATAATATGAATCGGGGTCGGAGGTAACGGGGACCTGTACGATGTCCTGGGATCAGGTGTCGGGGCTGAGAAGACCTGTGTGGGTGGTTTTTCGGTTAGTAATTAATAGCGTACAACTAAATATTCTAAAATAGAATTGAAACAACTTAGTTTGTTATTACTGTTTTGTGTAAATTTAAGTTCACTGAGAAAGAAGTTTTATCAAAAACAAATTTAGAAAAAAGGTGAATTTTTGATAGTAGAAATTATAAGAAACAAAACTCATTAAAGAGATTCACCAAAAGAACAAAAAAGTTTTTTAAAAATTTGAACAAGATTCATTGCAATGAATTTTAGAAAAACAATCTCAAAACCAAGTTGTTACAAATAAATTACAAATTCATTGAAACACAGTTCAGAATGGCAAATTACTGGGCTGACAAAGAGATTTATTAGACTGACTTACCATATTGTAACCTTTCATGGCTTCTCCGTACTTCTGTTTCTCTTGTTCGGCCAATCTAGCATAAGGTAACTTGTCAATGCTTGTCATCTTGCGCCATTCTTCACCGGCTAAAATTATTCAAAATGTAAATGCAAATTATTCATTGAGGCTAAAATAAAAGACACTTTGTTGGAATGATAGATTTATTAATAAAGAAAGATCTCTGAAATTCAGCCTGGAATGGTTAATTTATAAAGATCTACCTTACTAAAAGGCTTTCCAAGATTGTAATAAAAAAATTATATCTAGGAAAATTTTATAAAATACTGAATTGTGAGAGCATTATCTAGTAAATAAATACAGACAGAAAAACAAATTTCATTTTAAAATGAAAAATTATTTTGATTCTATTCATTTACTAGTATAGTTTTCATTATAGAAAGAGAGAGGATTATGAAGTAATGTACTAAACAAGTAATAATCATCAAATGTACATTTATTTATGATTTGATATACGCCCCTAACCTGCTCGGAGTAACTCCTTGTTGCCGACAAATCTACTTTTGACTTGTGCTCTGAAATCAAGTAACCATATGATGTAGGCGGATCTTGGCCTTTTGGGTCTGTTTGCATCTTTCACCGCATACGATGGAGCCTGCTTTGTGGAGAAATGTAACCTAAATAACTAATGCTGCACGAATTATGTAAGAGAAAAAAAAAAACAAAAAAAAAATTCAAAACTCAATAAATCTGTAAAAGGTGAATAAATTAGTAGTAGTGAATAACAAAACATAAAAATTTATGTATAACTAGTGTGGAAAGAAATAAAAAGCATAATGAATGAATGACAAACATCAGCAGCCTTATAGCTTCTTACAAAGTTGTATCCCTTGAGTGCCTCTCCATATTTTTGCTTCTCCTGCTGAGCTAATCGATCGTATGGCATCTTATCGACTGGTGTCATTTTTCGCCAGGCTTCACCAGCTTCAAGAAGATTTCGAAAAAGAGTTTGAAAGATTTAAGTCGCGTACTACGAAAGCAGAAGGAAAACCAGAATAATTGCAACAAGCTAGAGATTTTAGTTTTCATTTTTTAAAAAATTGAAATCCTAGACTTCAAAATGAGAGTATGACTGAATATGAGATTTACTTAGTAAGTTATTCAGCAATGAGTTTGAATTGGGGCTAATTTAAAACTTGCAATCTTGGTATAAATATTGATAGAAATCAATTTTAATCAGATAAACAACAAACTTTTAACATTCAAAGTTAATCACAAGATTATGATAAATTTTTCAACTTATCCAAAAATTCAATTTAAAAATATGTTTTAAACTGGTCTTCTTTTATTTGTGACAAAATGAAATTGAAAATGTGTTAGCTACTTATAAAAAAACTAGTAAACATTACTAGGACTATAATTTAGTAAAACATTTTAGCGTTGCAATTGTCTTGGGACCCTCCTGCTTTCAATAAACATGAACTGAGTGATTTAAGACCTGCCCTGGGTCTCAAGTTTTGGACTAGGGCACAATCAGGGCAGACCTTACAATTTTAACAAATCACACCTACATTCTACAGTAAAGAAAAGCATGAAGCCTATTAGAAATAAGAAACTACAAGAAAGGTGTTAACAGTCAGAGGAAAATGCATTTTAAATTTTGAATCTTAGAGGCTCTCACCGGCTCTAAGTAAATCTTTATGTTCTGCAAATCTGTTTTTCATTTGTGCTCTAAAATCTCCGAGCCAAATGATATAAGCAGATTGTGGCCTCTTTGGTCGGTTCCTATTCTTGCCATTGTAATCTGCAACCTGGTTGTTACAGATAAAAATATAACAATCACCAGTCAGAATTTTAAAGCATAGTGAGATAGATATATATGGATAGGTTAACAAAAATTTGTTAGGAATCATCTAAGTTCACTAAATTGGAGAAAGCTTATAAAGATAGCATGGGGATATAATTTTCCAGGGATGAAGAGGGCTAAACTAATAAACTAAATTTTAAAACTGGGGTACATCGCATCTGAAGGGTTTACAAATTTCACATTAGCTTTTAAAATATGAAGTAGAAATTCAATTTAAAATTTTTCAAAAGATAATTTATGATTTACACCAAGAGTGCAAGTTTGACCCAAATCAAAATCGTTGATTATCTTATAATTTATATATTGAAGCATAACTTTCAGACTGGCATAAGAAATGAAAAGGACTCAATGCTTCCATCAATTAGTTTAAATAACACTAATCAGACAAAATAGTATTGCCTCAAAGAAAGATTTCTCCAATTATTTGAACTGATGATATGCAACAAATTCATTTATATAGCAAAGTATAAGTAACTAATAATTATATTTTCAAAAATATATATGTAGAGAAATTCTGATAATGTAGAACAGTAACAAACAGGCCAGAGAAACAATGCCACAAAAATGCCTAAGTAAAACATTGTAAGGAAAGAAAGTAGCAAACCACCATTGGTAATAAGTTTTCCAATTTCTACTAATCTCCCTTAAATAAAAGCTTTTGGAATAATAAAAAGCATTGTAAGACCATAAAACAAGACCATTGAACAATGCTCCAATGAAAATGCTGGAAAAACAATTTTAAATGTGACCCATTTTAAAACAACTGGGTAAAAATATATGGTAAAGTCAGTCAAACTCTGTGATCAACATCTTTGCAAGTATTCAAATAAAGCTATGCTGCTGAATAAAGAGTTTGAACAACTGTACAAAATCAGCTGACACAAATTTAATGCAAGATATAAGGCTGTAGTATTGAAAAATAGTATAAAACGAAATATTAACAATTGAATAAAATTGATAGAAAATAATCCCTGCCTGTTGAGAATATCTGATTTTATCAGATGCAGCCAGTCGTTGGTAGTTGGCTTTCTCTTCCAACGACAACGTTCTCCACTTGGCCGATACCTGTTTTGTCCAATCTGCGACCTACATGGATGAAGAAAATATTTAAATTTAAAACAAGAAAAAAGCAACACACAGCAGGTGCTATTGGAAAAAAGTTGAAGAAACGAAACATACACGAGAAATCTTTTCCCCTCTTCTTACAGCTGCTTCTCTCTCCAACTGAATGAAGAAGAAATAAGCAGAGGTTGGTCTTTTGGGTCTGTTCGGGTCGCCCGATCTTCTGCGTGATATTCGTGGCAAAGTGGTGGTTGTGGTTAAAACCTGTGTCTGCAACTGAGCTTGCACTTGAGTTTGCACTTGCGCTTGTTGGGCTTGTTGCTGTTGTTGGGCTTGCTGTTGTTGTTGTTGTTGTTGTTGCTGTTGGGCTTGTTGTTGCTGCTGAACTTGCTGTTGAGCCTGTTGTTGGGCTTGCTGTTGGGCTTGCTGTTGGGCTTGCTGCTGTTGTTGTGGAGTTGGTCTAGTGATCAGATCTACAAATCAAAAATACAATGTCGTTAAAGTTCAAAGTGACCATTTGAAAATATTATTGAATTGAACATGCATCAGCAAAATTAAATAAAAAATGTAATATTAAAATAGGATCAATCATTATTAACATGTAAGTAAAAATAAGCAATGAAATAATCAACAAACCAATTCCCTGGGGTATGTGATTGGTCAGCGTCTGTTGTAGTGGTCTGGCATGCATCGGCAGTGTGGTCATCATGTTGTACGGGTTGGTGGCATCTCTAGGGGCGAACCCTGGAAACAAGCAGTGGTTAAATCCCTCTGACGTTAAAAGTATAGAAAACATATGAAAGAAAAACGTTGCCAAAAATATTTAATTGCACCAATAGCAGATTGCAAGAGTAAACACAAGATTAGAAGAGAAGAAGAAAAATAATATTAAAGAACCATAAATTCGTTTAAGTTCAAATTTAAAAAAATTTTTGATTTACTTTCAGGCTAAATTTCGACACGAAATTAGGCCATTTTTTTGATATTTGCAATTTTCAACCATCGGTAAGATAACGAAAAATTAAAAAATTGATCGCGCGCATTCGCTGCTAAGACGATCATATTAAAACTATTAAACTAATTAAAGAATAGAAACTTAGAAGACAAAATCGAGCAGAATATATCGTGCGAAATATATGAGATCACGGGATATGAAGCATCGGATACATAGCGTTACTTTTTTTACGTTTACGGCAGACATTACCAAATACAATACGAATACAATACAACATACATTACACACATACACATTCGACGCAATATTCGATGCTAAAACAACAATTTTCAACTCACCCATGTTCACGTATTGGGAATATGACATTCGAAAGTTTGCAGTTCAATTCTCTATTATTATAAAGAAACTAAACTACAGAAATATCGAAATATAGGCGATATTATTCAAGTATACCTAATATATTAAATATGGAGTATTTCCTCTATCTATAGCTATATATGTTGATATACAAGGCGTAGATAATATATAGAGTCGTATTACCAATCAGGCCGTAGATAGCATACAATAAATTTGAATTTTCGTTACTAATTATATCAAATTATATGGTGTAAATAATTTATATTACGCGATATAAATTAATAATTGTAAAAATCATATAACGTTTGCTTTTAATTTAATGTATAGTACGCGCCATGTATAGAAAATGCTACATAAATGAGTATTTCTTTTACAAAACGGATAGATATAAAGCACTATGCTATGCTATGCAAATACACTGGGTATATGAGCATAGCAATTGATCGCACGTAAGCCAGCAACATACATACATACACACTTAATGTATACACATATACATACACATACATACATACACATACATACATACATACCCACATACATACAGACATACATACATACATACATACATACATACATACATACATACATACATACATACATACATACATACATACATACATACATTCATACATACATACATACATACATACATACATACATACATACATACATACATACATACATACATACATACATATAATACCTGATACCTGATACACACATTCAGCCAGCTATATGAAATTAGCGCGCAAATAAGACAAAGCCACAGCGCGTATGTATATGAGCCTCCATATTGAATATATTGAAATGCCCCACCATATTGAATATATGCTTTACAATCTCTACTTTACCATATCTATGATTGTGTATTTATTATATTAGTGATATTACCATCAGTAATCGACAGTATACTTGTATATGTAAGGTATATATCGAAAGTCTGACCGATTGATTGTCCATATATATGTATATAATATGCAAATTACGACCGATAAAATTTCCATACAAAATACCACCTATACATGAAAATCATGGACGTAAGTACGTATAATACGACTTGCGTTTCATCATGAAAGTGTCCTCATACTTAATGTATTAAGGATATAACCATGTGCACTTGATCATAGATAGTGCGTGCCTGCCTTTCTTTACATAAACTAAACAGAATCATATCCTATCCAAGTGGTATATCTAATGTATTTGGATATCAGACGGCCTCATGTTATATAAATGAGATTCACCTGGTTTGGTTTCACGAAAATTTTCGTGGAATAGAGCTTGTCGGCAGTGGCACATTTCGTTTCATAGAATCGTTAATCATGAAAAGGTTTTGTAATTAATTTGAATCATCAATTTTATTATAATCAAAATCATCATTTTCTCAAACACTGACAAACGTAGAGTTTGAAAGGGCACGAAGTAAAATGAATGCATGCATTTATGTGTTGAGAGAGAGAAAGAAAATTAGATCTTGAAGAGGATAGAGCGAAACACAAAGGTGAATGCGTAACTGAAGTGTTATATTGAACAAGTACAAAGCAATACAAAAATAAGTATCAAATTGACGAAAAATATTCAATAGAGAATAATTATCGAATAAATAAAATATATAAATAGGTACATTTGAAATTGGCTTCGTAATTTGATGTTAATTTATCTCCAAAGCAAGCTAAATACGGACACCTGCACATTAATCATCGCCACATAATTAGGCAAATTCTTTGTTTTGTTTGCCACCGTTACTGCTACTACTGCTGCTGCTGCTGCTGCTGCTGCTATTGCTACTACTGCTGCTGCTGCTACTATTGCTGCTACGACTACTTAGTACTGAAATACTAATTCTATCTTTGAATTGAGTAAAAATTATGCGGAATAAAAAGTAAATCAGTATATTTTTAAGACACTTACCGCAGAAAAATCTATAAAGTTAAAAATTACTATCTGTTCTATTATAGCATCGCCTTTTCCTGCCTTAAAAACGGATTTGTAAACAGTTTTTTCGATAAATCCCTTATCATCTCATCTTATTTCTGATCGCACAAGACTTCAAGCAGCCTAAACGCATTGAAAAACTTAACAGAACTCATGCACCGACACGTACAATGAATGGCTGATGATTTAATTAAGTGAAATTATGATAATTAATTTAAATTAGTATTTTTATTTGGCGTCTTTCCCACATATAATGATTTTGCATGCAGCACACACACACACACATACACACACACACACACACACACTTGGTATAACAAAGACATTAACTGCCAGCAATTACTTTGACGAAGTATTTTTTCTAGATAAACTTTCTAGACAATTTTTTATTTTCAAAAAGTTAATATGCGATATGCCTAGCCTACTGTACTGTCTTCTATAACATATTTTAAATACATTAAATCTAAAGGCATTTCAAATAGTGGAGATTCTCTGTGTTTTGACTTGCTGTCAGACATTCAAGTGTACCTGCCACATGTAGAACATTAATAGACCACAACGTTTTTTCTGGTCTAGATCTGATTTTATGCGATCCAGATATTCCTGTATTATATTTGTCATGTTTTTATAAACAGATAAATGGACTATTGTTTTTAACTTTGTTCAGTGCAAATAAGCTGGCGCTGTACAATCGCTATCGAAATTTATACAGTGTTTAATGAATCCTGATCGCTATTAAAACACGAGTTAAATAGTAACGTTCAATTGATTCTTGATTGTATTGTAATTTACTCCAGAAAGTATCCAAAATATAAAGTCTGCCTTTTTTTGTTCGCCACGAACAGGTTAGAACAGGTAAACTTTCCTATGCATTCGAACGAAATTTTTTTAAAAGGCGTTCTAATCAACTTTGATCATATTTTAACCAACTGTTTCATCCATTAAGAAGCTATTGAAACAGCATCTGTTCAAAAAGGCCTTTGGTGGCCGTGCTGACATGTGACATTATTATTATTATATTTGATAGAAAAACAACAAAGTAATACGTCAATTTTATTTCGCTTTTGACAAGTGCATCAAATTAAATTAATTCATTTTAACATCACGGATTCATATTTAACAAAGTGATTTGCCTTTTGTAATTCTATAAAAGCAGATGAATATCTTTCTAAAGCAAAAAATAAACCCAGCAAACATAGCAAATTTATAACAAGAATAATTAGTCTTCTGAGGGAATATTTTCGTAACCGGCTCGACGTTTGAAAGCTTTATCAGTGCCCCAATAGACGCTGGGTAAAAGAAAATTAAAAAAATACATTAAAAACTCATGCGATGCAAGTTAAGGACTAAAATGTATCTACCTACCATAAGATGAGTATGATGCAGACGTATAAAGAGCTGTTGAATATGAAAACAACTTGAGGCTGTTGAGAGACCGTTGCGGCATAGATCTCATTCTGAATGACTAGACCAATGACAATCCCTATCATCTGCATCCATGCTAAGCTGGCAAACATCAATCCTGGAAATTTCAACGTAGGTAAATTTCCGTAAAAATGAATGAAAATGTTACATCATCAATCAAACCTAATTTTTCTGCCGGCACTATCTTTGATGCATAAGCTCTCAATATTGGGATCGGCAGCATGTGTGCACAACCTGCAACCGGCACTGAAATTTTTATGGAATTTCTATTGATAATTTAATAAATTTGTCAAATTAATCATTCAACTAACCAATCAAATCAATCGATCAGTTGAGTCAATCGATCATTTAATCAGGTATGCATTTTATGAATAGATAAACCAATACCCTAACCAATACAAATTTGTTTTAGCACATTATGATGCATAATTTTAATGAATCTTTGCATAAAATTATGATAATGATTTGCTGAAATTACTGTAAATCTGGAGCAAAATATGAAAAAGCAAAATGCGTACATTTTATATTAAAAAATAACAATATAGATGAGCCAACGCTCCTACCAGTACCAACATATGTGTAAAACACACGAAAAGAAAAAAACCAGAGATCTCTTGCGGTCGAAAATAAATTTTTCGTCGTTAAGTGTACTTCTGGTTATAATAAAAACACGCACACATTGACACAAAGCGCTTTTTATGAGCGAACATCTGGAGAGGACTCACCTAGAAAGAGCATCAGCAAATTGTAGGAGAAGGCGAAAAACAAGAAGTAGGCCACTGAGAACACGCAGCCCAAGTTCACCAGCCCCAGATCTCCAAACAAATTGCCGAGGAGTTTTGTGAACATCCAGTTTGCCAGGTTGCTAACTACGTAATCCTCTGCGTTGAAGTAGCCAACCCAAGATGCGGTGAGGCAGAGAGGAAATTTGAGCAAAAATAATGTTTGAACATCTAAACTTCCCAGCTGAACCAGGGAAATGAGAAACATCATCAAAAGAGTTGAAATCTTTTTAATTCTATCATCACTTTTCTCCGCGAATAATTGAAAGGCATTTTTAAGATACGTTATTGGACTCAGTGACGCTTCATGATCGATTATATTAACGGACTCTTTCAAAAAGAATACAATATAAATCAATGTAATAGTGACTAATCCAAGCAATATCACATAAGTCCACAGATAGCCAATGTAATCTTTCAGGACACCGCCTACCAGATGAGATAGAACAACTCCAAGACCGCCAGAAGCTTCAAGTAGAACAGTCCTGTAAGATCTGTGAGCCACATCTGTCACATCAGAAACGTAAGCAAAACATCCCATGAGCAGCAATGACGACATTCCAAAGAAACCATCCAGTAGAGAGGATAACACCAATAGAGTCATGCTCAAGCCATAGAGACAAGATGCAATTAAAAATATCATTCGGAATGTAGCTCCAACCATAGGCATTACTAAAACTGGTATTCTCCCTTTCTTGTCACTGAAGCCACCAAAGAAAATAACAACAAGAAATGCAGGCATCAGTGCAGCTAGGTGCATGATGAGCAAAATTTGTGAAGCTTCTGCATCTACCGCAGGATTATCAGTGGAATCAGAATTAGTTGCATCAGTAGCAGGACAGGTTTCGCTGTTGTTGTTTCCATTGCTATTCTCCATCTGATTGAAACTGTATTCTTTTTTATTTGTCATTATCAAATGTCTGACAAACTGACTCACCAGAGGCATGCTACCATAGAAATACAAATTGTAGAGGAACAACACTGGCTCCACAAACATGAATTTTGAACACATTTTGATTTGAGTGACGACCGAGATGAATAGAATAATCAAATACAAATAAATTTACCTACAACAGTTAATATTATAAATTATAAAAAGTCAGTCTTAACAGCCTCAGTGTTTTAAAACAAAATCAATGTACTGTCATACCCTGTTTACTTAAAGATACGAAAACCAGACGAAGCCAATACGATAGTAAAACTATATACAAATCAAATTAAAAACTGTTTCAAAGAGAACTATATTCGTTCAGTGAGCAAAGGTTGAAAAAATATAATATCTGAATGTTGAGAACAAGTGACACACACACAAATGACAAAATGAAGTGAAATCGTAAAGTAATTGATGATATCATATCATGACATCATTTTTACAACTATTAGTTAAGTATATGTCAATTTTTGGCGATCAGTCACGACGCCTGTATCCGACATTTACATATTTTATTTACTTATCTATGAAATTCGAAGGGTCATGTTTTTCTGTAAATTAACTTTTAATTTTTAAACAATGACTAAAAGTGAATCCAAATAAATTGTCAAATACTTGCCATAGACGTTCGCAGACACAATCCTACAATCCGTAATACAGTAAGTAGGCCATCCATACATATGGAGTATAACATATAATATATTGTATATATATGACCATATATATCAATATGCTTGACAGTTTTTCACTCAGTTTGAAAATGATACTGAAACTTGTCGATTAAATTTCCACAGCGAAACATTACTAATAAATTTGTAGGTGATACAAACATTGCATTTCGTGATTCATCTTGCTTTAGGAATCATTCATTATACATTTTGAATTTACTTAATTAAAGTTGTATCGTAAGGTCATTTTCAGAAGTATTTCTAAAAAATTAGTATACATAGTACCTACAGAAATATATAGAGATTGTTTTTACACTTTTTAACAAACAATTAAAAATATGTATAAATTCTATTCTAAAAACCGTCGTTTAGAAACTCGTTGTCGTGTTTCGTTTTGTGTTGACATAACATTTATAAAATAAACACAATATTTCAAACTTTCCTAGCCAAAAATGAGGCTGGTGCATTCAGTCATGCCCTCATTTGCAGTGGTTGAAGATTGTCAACTGATTTATTCAATTAACAACGGAACACACGGAACCTTTTTCCAACATTTCAGAGGCATTCCGGGAGACGCCGTCCTTCATATTTTCATTTTTTTCGTAATGTCTTTGTCATACTTAAGGAAGGAATGGCGACTTCGTTGTTATCTATTTATTTCATTTTATAATTTTCGATGCCACAAACTCGTTCATTCGATATTATTTTTACGATTTTTCATGTCTTATTCTTATTCATAGTGAACTATATAGAAAGAAATCGTATTTTACGATTTATTTAACTGCAGAGCAGTTGAAACCGTAAGAACAGTTTTAGTAAGTATTCACATTTTTTATAAAACAATAGTCTATGTAGATATAAAATATATTGGTAATATAATAATAGTAACGTATTCAAAAAACCAGCAAGTGATATAAAAGATACCGCATCGAAGTCGCCACGCTCTGGTCTTAGCAGCTTCTTTAAAATTTAAAAATCAAGTTAATTTATCTAAACTCCGGACTTTAAATCCTAATTTATTAATCCTAATAATCATTAAAATTCTTACAAACTTCACGCGACAGTTTCTTGTGGGAGTATTTTCACTTTTTAGAAGAAAATTAGATGGCTATGGTACTTGGGCTTTGGGACTGAAGTTGGAAACGGAAAGGTTTGAAAAAATCTAGCAAAAAAGATGAAGGTTTTCTATAAAGTTTTTACATTATTCATCAGAAAATACACGTCGTCTCACGGCCCAGAGAACAAAGCAATAAAGAAAATTAAACATGTAGAAAAATCTGCTCAAAAGGTTTAACAGTGCTAATCTAAAATTAGTTGACCAATAAGAAATAACATTTTTTTAAATAAAGGGTTTATTTTCGTGGATTTCAACAACATACAAACTAAGGTAGAGAGTTCTCATTCAAACTGAATTTATACTTAAACTTTTGTCAGATGATCCGTTTTTAATCCACCCGTTATAATGATAATCTCGATAGAACCATTATTGTTAAAGTTACGAGACGATATACCAAAGGTGTGGAAGGGACGCGGTCTTATATTTGATGTTCCAACAATATATGCTCTGGTTGGTGGGCGTTCTAATGTTAGTTGCTGTGTTTTTTCTCCTACCTTTGAATTATTGGTCTGGTGGTCAAGGTTAGTTTATTCCTGATCAATTTTTTCATCAATTAATCGTGTATATATATATTTTTATTTTAAAAATATGTTCCAAAGCTCAAATTAACTCAGTGAATTTCGATAAAAGTATTGTAAATTTTCTAGGCGAAGATTTGTACATCAGATTCAGCGTTTTCAACGTACCGTCAAAGTTATTTCATGCTTTCGCATAATATTTTTTTTACGTAGTTAAGTTTTTTTTTAATTATTTTACGAAATATTTTCCTAGAAATAATTTTACAAATTTTCATTTGTTAGACTTTTTCTGATTGTATGTAGTAACAGAAATTTATAAAAATAACATTGTAATTTACATAAAAACTTGCAATTTCCTATTGGTTTTTTCTAATAATATATTGCAAAAAAATATTTAAAACTAATAATTTTAATACAAAACCTCTATATCCAAAAGTTCTCCGTTCTTATGGTGCCATATAACAGTTGCTGGCGCTTTCCTTGCTCTCTCAATGATATTCATGTACCTGTATTCGAGACATCTCATTGCCGATCCTGGCGATTTTGTTAGGGATTTAATTTTTTAAATTCTGAGATTTTGTTGTTTTATTAACTTATTTTTTGTTATGAAATGACGTATTTGTCAAATCAATTTTTATAAAAGATATGTATCATTACTTTGTATATGTGTATTACAAACTTGTCTGCTAAATTTCTCTTACCAGAGGATTTCACATAAAATGTGTGCGTGCGTGTGCGTGTGTGTGTGTGTGTATGTGTGTGTGTGTATGTGTGTGTGTGGCGTTGACTACACTGTGTCGTGGATACCTTTATGAATTATCAAGTGAGGAATTGTAAAAGAGATGCCGACTTAATGTTGTAATCTGACAAAGAATGACAAAACCTGAATAATATGACAAAAGTTATTTCTTAGGCTGTAAAAACGTTGATGATCAGCCATATTCCACTTCACGCAAGAAACAGAGATCTGATCTCAAAACATTTCAAGTATCAAATTTTATCATTTTACATCGCGTTAATGAATTTAAATTGACTTAAACGAGCATTGGTGCTACGAACAACAGTTATTACATACGTTGATTTACGAATCTTTACATACACTGTTTGTTTGTTCTTGACCCAACTAAAAGAAACTAGGAAGACAATTGTTAAAAAAATTATATATTAAAGTATCGATAGGTCATTTTGATTTTATCTTTGCAAATTTTTCTATGGACATTATTTTCAAAGTTTTAAATCTCATTTAAAATGTTCACCGATCATTTTTAAAATTTTTGACCACGACCATAAGAGAACAAATTTTCATTTCGAATACGCAGGGAAGTTTATCCAAATGTAATCATTGAAAACGTTAATTTCGCCAGAGATTTCTCGAGTTTATTGGATTTTAGAATGCACATGTTAGATGTTTTTTTTGTTTTGTTTTTTTTTGTGAAAATTTTGACTAAATTTAACCATTTTAAACTAAATATGTTAGCGATATAAATATCATGAAATAAATGAACATAGGAGCATAAGCTTAAAAATTAAAATTCGACCAAAAGCATCCTCTAAGCTTTAGATCATTACATGCTGTATACATCAATGGAGAGTATACAATTAAGCATAGTTACAAAGGAGTATTAACTTGAAATAAAGTGTTGTTCTGGTTAATATATATTAAAATCATCAAATTTATATCTGTTTCCTAACACTAACCTTAAATCTGATAAAAATAAATCAATTTACAATTTCAAATTTTCTGGCCTGGAATAATATTTTCAAGTTTTTTCGTCAGCTTTCTGTAATAGTTTTTTTTTATTTTCCCTCCAATTCCAGCGACATCTACAAAGATTGTTTGGAGTTCAAAAAAGAGAATGTTGACCGCGGCTTGTTGTACTTCTATTTCAAGCATTTGCAATTCTTCCGGGGCTGCTTGCTCGATCAAGAAGTTTCTAAATTAACTGTTTCATTCTTTTCATTTTCGATCCATATTTTTTTAGTTTCAATAAAATAATTAATATTTAATAATAAAAATTAATATGGCAAAAACCTCAAATAAGTAAAACTATGTTTTCAACGAAAGTTTTTAGTTAGATTACTTTTTTCGAATTCTATAATGATTTTACCTTGCTGCAGTTTATGACCAGGTCATAAAATATATTTTATCTCGTTGAAAAACGACAAAAATTTTACCAATTAGCAAATTAATAAAACAAATTAATTTTTAAGAATTAATTTGTAGATAGCAAACGAGCGTGAGTACTATGAAGAGAGGGTTGAACATTACGAGAGGCTGTTAAGAGATAGGATGAAGTTCATTTCCAGGCAGCCGCTAGGGGTGGCCTTCGTCGTTTTACAGAGGCCCGACATGATGAACATGTTAGCTACTTTATAACATTTTTTCTAGATATTTAACACTTTTTAGTACTTAATATACTTAGTATTATTAAGAAATTAATTTATTTCAATCTATTTTATAAATTAAATAATTTATAATTAGTATTCAATACTTTCTTTTATAGATATTTAATACGTTTTACGATATTTTTAGCCAAAATTTTTTTTCTATTTTTTAAAAGAAATCAAACTTTGTCAGAGGCTCATTCATTATATTTTATTCATGGATTCTTCGATTGACAGTAGACTAACTGATTGTGGGTGATTTTGTTTATAATGAGGCAATTGATTCCTGGAATAGACCCCCCGTTTTATATCAACGTTAAATTCAGGTGTTTTAGTTCAATTCCTATACTAAATCTGGATAACTGGTCATTTACAGAAATTCTCTCATTAGTATTTTCTGGAAAAATTTTCAGAGTTCTGAATGATTTCAAGATGAACTGGCTCTGCATGACTGAACCGAAGGCATCGATCCTCTCGGGGCACCTGCAGGTCGAAAGTTGGGAGGTCATCAGGGCACCAACCGCCAATAACATCATCTGGCAAGTACCATACGATGACTGTGGAAACCGGTTAATCGGGCCACACCCAGACTTGTTTACATTATTAATGTTTATGTTACATTGGTGTTTACATCATTACATTACGTTGATGTTTACAACATTACATTACGTTGATGTTTACATTATTACATTATATTGATGTTTACATCATTGCATTACATTGATGTTTACATCATTATATTACATTGATGTTTACATCATTACATCACGTTGATGTTTACATCATTACATTATGTTGATGTTTACATCATTACGTCATCTTGTTCGATCAATGTTACATCCGAATCGCAGGACAAATCTAGACACGACAAGGTTTCAGTTCTGGGGCCGAGCCATAGTCTTAAACATCATGATCGTTCTCATCTTCGCGTTTATTACAACTCCTCTGGTCGTCATCAACCAGATCCACCTCTTCCTCGAGTATCTACAGAAAAATTTCAAATTTACTCCGTATATCAATTTCGTTAGATTTTTTTTCTTACAAATGTTTTTCGGTGGATAGATGGTGTGGTGGTTAAGACGCCTGCTTCTGCTGTTGCAGCACCTCTGTTCGAATGCAAATAGATTCTTGGATTTTATGTGCGATATGTGATACGTAGATTACCGCGTATTTTTCACGTATCAATTTGATATATTATTTCAAATTAAATGATTAAAATAATGATGATTTTAATTAAAAATTGTAAATAATTAATAATACTAATAAATAAATAAATAATATTAACAATTAACAAATATAAATAAATTCTTTTTTTTACTTTGTTTTTCCAGGGTAGTCAGCTATCCAACTTCCTATCTTCAACGCTGTTCGTTTTGATAAACTATCTCCTGCCAACTATCATCTACTATCTTGATACAATGTTCATCAAACACGTGATCAGGTTTATTATTATTATTATTATTATTATTATTATTATTATTATTATTATTATTATTAGTAGTAGTAGTAGTAGTAGTAGTAGTAGTAGTAGTAGTTGTTGTTGTTGTTGTTGTTGCTGTTGTTGTTGTTGTTGTGGTAGCAGCAGTAGTAGTAGTAGTAACAGTAGAAATCGCAGTACACTTTATTAATAATATTATTGTTTATATTATTATTATTATAATAATTATTTACATCATGACGTAATTATCTATAATAATAATAATAATAATTATTAATATTATTTCGTCAAAAATATTTTCATAAGGTCTTCTAGAGAAACGGTTGTCATATTGAAGACGTATTGTTTCTTACTCTTCATGAACTTGATTCTGCCTGTCTTTGGTTTGACCAGGTTTTACTTTATTACATAGGCCTAAACATAAAACCAAACACATGAGTTTGATTCTCAAACAAAACATATTGTATTGTATTAATTTTGTATTGTATTGTATTGTACAGTATTGTATTGTATTATATAGTATTGTATTGTATTGTATGGGTGTATGATATTGCACTATATGGCATGATGTCAGATGGTATTGTATCATATATCATGATAGTCGATCCGTTCGTATGGCGTGATACTCTCCGAAGACTCTTAAGAGTGCAATAAATATAATATTGTATTGTAATGAATTGTATTTTAATGAATTGTATTGAGTTATATGGTGTCTCATGGCCTAGCATAGTATTATATTGTACTGTATTTTATTTCACGGTACAGCATCGTACCGTATTGTATCGTATCGTATTGAACTGTTCAACATTTTTGTTTTAAACGACAGTTTTAATTCTCTTCTCGATTGGATTTTCAAGACTAAAACTAACAGTCTACATTCCGGATGGAGGTTCATCATCATCATCATCATCATCATCATCATCATCATCATCATCATCATCATGATTATTATTTTTATTATTATTATCGTGACTATAATTGTTAATATTATTATTATTATTATTACATGCCTATATAAACATAAATCATCATCATTTCCATGTAAGAGCAACTGCATTTTTTTCTCAGACCATGGATGTATCCACAACTCCCATAGTTCAAACATTCATACTCACTTATCAACCTATAATGACCATACATACATATTATTATAATTAGATGTATATATTAATTATGATAATTATTCAATTATGATATCATAAATTATGATAATTAGATGCATATACCAGCCCATAAACACGGTATTCTTCGTGCATATCACAATGAGCACGGCCTCTTTGACACTGGGTCTGGAGTTGATCCGAATTAGGGATCTCTTCTACTACGTCGTACTTATAGTTACGTCAAAGAGTGAAGTCGAGAGGCTCGCTAAAATTAAGGTGTTAAATATTTGAAATATTTGGCTGAGTTTGTTTTCATTGCTTTGTTGGTTTTCTTTACTTTTGCTTACTTTCTCTCTCTTTCTCTCTCTCTCTCTCTCTCTCTCCTTTCTTTCTGTCTCTCTGTCTTTCTCTCTCATTTTTTCATTTTTATAAGTTCCTTTCTTTTTTCTCTACAATGCAACATTCTCTCTTTCTCTCTTTTTTTCTCCACTCTTCCTTTTCTCCTATTTCTTTTTCTACCCATTTTTTATGCTGTTCTAAACGTTGTGTGGCGAGTTATCTCTCTTTGATGCCAAAATGTGCGTCTGATTTAATGAAGAAAACGAAAATATCGTTGATGAATAAATTTTAATGACCAATTGACTTATTGATAAATAAAATAATTAAAAATTAATTAATTAATTAATTGATTAACTTTTTAAATCGGTTAGTATTACGTAGGTTCATTTTATTACGGGTCTTCGTACGCCTACTTACTGAACGTTCTTACATGGGTTGTTATCTACAGCGTCGCCTCGCCTATAATTGCTATTCCTGGTTAGAAAATCCGGCTTTTTTAAAATTAATTACATTTCAGATTTATTGTATTTATATTATTTTACATTGTATTATTTTAAATATTTAAACGCGTAATTGGCGTTAATTCGATTTTAGAAATATGACTAATTTATAATTTTCCAGGCTTTTTATACCTGCTGCTGAAGCATTTTGTGGACAAGCACAACATCTACTTTGCCTGTACGACAAGAGACGATACGGTGGTTGTTCACACCGCAGCCGTTAACCTCTTTGTCATCATAAGCTATCTCCAGCTATTCGGATTCGTTATCTTTATATATTTCCAATCAGGTTTTGAGGGATTGGAAATAATTTTTTCCTGGCTTTTTTTTTATTTTACAATTCTCACTCTAGTATTCTTCAGAAGTGTGAGGTAAGTGACAGACGGATAGCAAGTGTGAATATGCGTGTTGCGAGATTTCTTTGCGATCCGACAACACTCGTTTCACAGAAACAGACAGCAGTGCCAGGCGTCTTAACCACTTCCCCACCTTCTGTATTAAATATTATTTCTAATTTAAAATTTTTTTAACAATCGTATTGCTAGGTGAAGTTTTTGAAGGAGTATACATGTACTGTTTAGTGGGGTTAGGACTCGTTTTGGTTATCATGGTCGTGCTCTTTTTCGTCGGAGTTTTTAAGCCAAAGAAAATTTTATCTTTGCGAGAAGTCATATTGCTTTTTTACAAAATTATTTTTTTAGGAAAATTGTTTGTTGTCAAATGGTTTCAGGCAGTGAAAATTCTCTACTCCATAGCGTCTTAGTTGGAATGCAAAGTAGGCTTCCCACCAATTGTTGTTGCTGTTGCTTATTCTCTATGATGTGTTATTCCATAAGCGCTAGAAAACCGTGAATTTAGTGCTACTAGATTAATTTATTTCGTTCATTAAATACGTTCGATCATTATATTTTATTTATTTAGCATAACCAACAAAACGATTTTTACCTCATTTAGATGAAAAACGACAAAAATATAGCGAACCTGCTGTTGAATTTCAAAGCCGTTCAAGATCTTGGCGAGAAGTTTGCACTGAATAGACTGATATCATGAGATATTTCTTGCACATCCATTTATTTGTTAAGTAATCTATGATTTGAAATTCAATATTTGATGTGTTTTCGTTTAAGTTGATTTTTTTTTAGTTTTTTTCGTTTATTATTTATTTTTGGAGTTAAAAATTTAATTGTCTGTTCCTCTTAACATCAAATCCGTGTAGTATCACGGATATATCTATGTATAAAATTCAGGTTAGGTTGGCACATGATGGCAAATTTGTAAAGTTGTGTCCTAATAACCGAATTAAATTTATCTAAATATCTTTAAGTGTTTAGGTTTCTGATCTCTACTTGAATGAACAAAGTTAAACTTGTTTTTAAGCCCATTTCACAATTATAAAAATCTGTAGAGTAAACCATTTTTTCACTTATCTTAAATTCGTCATCGGTATTTAAGTGGCAAAAAGTTAATTTTTTCAACAGACTTAATATTAATTAATGAAGTAATTGAATAATTTTAGTACTATATTATTAGATAATATACTTGTAATTATTTGTATATGGGGAACCTATCCTATACTATGAATTATACAATGGAATTAAGAGTTATGTTTTGAATATTATATCTATGGCAAATTATATGTAGTAGTTCTCGGGATAACGTTAACGATAATAAGGAGAAAATGGATGGTTTGTTAGAATCAATCCGTAAAAAATTTGGGATTGGGGAGTATCCCCCAGAGTACAATCCGAGAGTGCACGGTCCTTATTATCCCAGTCGATATTATGGAAAGGGTGAATGATCTTTTTTTTTATATAAATAAATCTTTGTCAAGGTCATCATATTTCTTTCATTTATTTTATTTTATTCATTCTCTAACCAACCACTGTCCCTGGTCTAGTATATCTCTATATAAACAAAATTACCTAACTCCAAAGATCATCCTTTTATTTTTTTTTACAATTCATCATTCATCAGCATCTTTATCAGCAGTAATTTATATTAAGTATTTCTGAATGAAGAGTCATGAATTTTTTTATATATATAATATAGGAAATCCTTTTTCTAATTAATATCAATTAATAATTAATTAAAATATTAAATTTTAATTTAGGAGTGATTTTAATTTTATTTTTTCTGCAATTTAATTTTGGCAACAAATATAAACTAAAGTTAATTTAATTAGGTGCTACATGCAATTTATGTCATTTGCATTATAAATTAGAAGTTAATTTAATCAGGATATGAAATAATTAAATATCAATCAATTTTTATTTATTTTCTCCAGCTGATACGAAGTTTACCCAAGTAAAACTTGGAGAGATGGGTCAATGGCTTGGCCGTCGTAACTATGATCCTCTTTCTATGCTTCGTTGCATTGGCAGAGGTAACATTTTTGGTTTTTCTATTTCTTTTTACAGATCTAAAATACTTTATAAAAAACTGATAATAAAGAATTATATTATAATTGTTATAATATAATTAATATAATATATTATAAATATAGTGTCCTGGTTATGACATTAAACTGACCCTCACTGCCTTGTGAGTGATGTTGGATCATCAAAGGCTAGGCCCACAGCTTATAACTGTGGTTGCGTAAGGAAGGGCGTCCTGCGTAAAAATTATCCAAATAAATTACTTATGATGGAATGGCGTCAAGGGGTATTTCGGTTTCATCATAGGTAGCCAAACGGCAACCCCCGATTTCGGGGAAAATGTCGTCTAAACGTGTGTTGTTGTTTGTATATTATAAATATAATTTCAAATATTAAAATAGGATGGACTCGTTGGCAGATGAAGTGGATGATGCCAAAGAGGGCTAGCATAGCCCCAGTGGTTCAATTCTGCATGGGTGTCTCTCTGTTTTTCTATGTCAACAACTACAGAAGATTCAGTCTGTATACCTTTTTTTTATTCTGTATCTAAATTTTGAATATGTTAATTGAGATTAATCATTATATTATTTGTGTATATTTTTTTATTATAAAGATTTAAAATTGTTGTTTTTATTCTGCCTATAAGTTTGAGATGCTAATTGGGATTATTTTTCTTTAGATTTTTCATATTTATTGAATTAATGTATAAAAATAATTTTTTTTATTTTACAGGAAAGCTTGGTCACCATCACACCAAATACCATTGGTGATTTGTCTGCTAAATAATAAACAAATTATTACTGAATGAATATTTTTCAGGATCAGCTATTGAAATTGTTTAAAAAATAAAATTAATTTGTCGTTTTTTAAATATTAAATGGTTTTTTGAGAATAATTTTTGTTAGGAAATAATAATTATTTCGTGTTTTGGTACGTTGAAAGTTAATCCAATTAGACATTACAAACAGAGATGCGTTTTACCAAGCAATTCTAACAAATACATATTCATAATAATTTTATTTTAAATATAAATATACACATAAATAGTAATTATATACAAACATATAAAACAACGGTATCATTTACATACATCGAGATAATTGTCATACGTGATTAATGATAAATAACAACAAATGACATTTAACTTATCCGCACGCGTCAACAAATCGCTGCTACTACGTCCGAGATCAAACCGGTTAGCGTCTCGTCGTAGCAATTCGATGTGACGATGTCTAGAAAGTGTTTGCTAAATTTCAACAGCGGTTGTTTGTTTTCGGGAGTTTTAGCAAGGTATGACAATATTTCGGCGGCCTTGCAAGCCGTGTAGGAGCTAACTTTGGGAAAGGAGTCTAGGACATTGTTCTGTTCTAGCAGAACATTCGATGTGATATAATTCTCTATCAAACTTACGAGTGTCAGGGGCCCACTACCCTCCAAAACTAAGACTTGCCCCAGGCCGGTGTCTGCCTCTGTAAGACGACTCAAGAGGCCGAGTAGGATGTCTTTAACGATTTCCGACTCGCCATTGTTGATAGAAGTTACTGCGTAATCGATTAGTTGAACTAGGCGTGAAAATGGCGGAGTTGCGAGTACGTAGTTGGTGTTATGTTTGGAAATGCATAATTTGGAAATTGTCTCGAAGACGATTCTTTGTAATGATATGTTGGAGCCACAATTTAAATCCAACGCCTCTGACGATTGACAGACCGCCCAGTGCAACAAACCGTCGCATAATTCCATGCATATATCTCCGGGTAGCAGGGAAAGGTTTAAATGATTAGCTATAGATGACAGGGTAACGATACAGTTGAATCTTACGTTAGATATGATTGACCACCACCATAAATCTTGAGGGTGTTGATGAAAACGGTCATCGTCTTCGTTTTCAGGTTTTCTGGTTGTATGGGTATGATCTAGAAGAATGTATTGACTTAATAATGAGATAAATTTGAGGTTTGTCGCCATTTCCTTCTCATTCCACGACGACATGGATAAATTTCTGAAGATGTTGCTAACGCATATGCACATTCTCGCATGCTCGAGTTGACTCTCACTGCACGCGTTGAATAAATCATCGACAGGCTCTTGAACCTCTTTCGTAGTTTCTACGGCCACGACTTCATCTATAATTTTTCTCGGAATATTTTCACTAGTAACCTCATCTAGTTTCACCTCACACTTCACTACTACCTTTTCTTCGCTTTCCGTTTTGCTGTCGTCAATGGCTGAAGCAAAGTTACGTACGCGGAAGTTATTTTTACTGAAGTATTTTTTTGCATAAAATTTCTCTTCACATTCGCCGTCCATCTTTACGACTACATGACTTGTATCTTTGTCGTTATCTTTGAAAAATGCGTTGTAAGTCGAGTGGGGGCAAGGATTGGAACTTTCGAACTCCGACGCATCCATAGATCTGTCATTTTTTTTAATCGAATCCGTCAAACTTTTCATGTTTTTGTGGAATAAATTGAGGATAGCATCAAACACCATTGGGTTTTTTGCGATGTTAAGGGAGAACGCTGAAGCATCGTGAGAGGTGATCGACAAGTAATCAAGAGCCCATGTCGTTTCGGCCAACAGGCCCGATTGCAATGATGTGCTGATCTTTGAAGCATCTACGTGGTCTGAAAAATATGTTAATATGTAAAATTTATGCTAATTTTATGTTAATTAATGTTACGTTAATGAGTTTAAATGTTTAAGATATCTTCCTGAAACATAGAATTGTCGTTAAAATTCTGAAGAATTTTCTCTTCAGTGTTTTGCTTTTACAAAATTCATCGATAATTATAATATGAAAAAAAAGAATAAAGAGAAATTTACAGAGATTAAACAAAAAAATTTAATTAAATGTAAAATATAAAAATATTTAAATATTACCGAAGTCTCTTTGATATAATTTTCTTCGTTTGAATTTGTTCGGTTTGATGCTCTCAATTGGCATCCTGATGACGGGGAATTGTACGTTCGGGAACCTGATGCGGTTTGAATGACAAAATATCATCGTTATACGCGACGAAACGTAGTGATTGCAATTAATTATAATTGATACTTTATCAAATGATATCGTATCATCGTTTTAAGAACTGTTTTATAGACGAATAGTTGCTTTGTCTTACATATTTTACAACGCGATCGTAAAACCAGAGATAAAAAAATCAGAAAATAAGCAATGATAGTAAATTTTACCCTTTTACAAGCTTAAAAAAAATTAACTTTGACACGCGAAGAATCTCTCACAACATGCAAAATACTTGAAAATGATATTAGAAAGAGAAAAATGAATAAATTGAAAATAACACAGCTACACAACCTTATACAATTTGTCTGACTGTTTTGTAGTTCAGAAACTTCTCTATAGTTGAAAAACATGGGAGGATCTCCCGAATTGACGGAAGTAGTAGAGATGGTGGGTTTTTCCCAAACGCTATTGCTGTCCTCAAGGGCCGTCAGTAGCTCCGGAAATGAGTCTTGGGATTGGGAGTCCTCCTTTGATACGCTCGTGTCGCCGGCTTGACTAGCATTTTCTGGGATTAAAATTATTTCGATAAGTTTAGACGTTGACGCCAATTTGTGAATACTTATATGTGTATGTTTATGCATGAAATAATTTTTGTAAGATTAAATATATGTATCAATGTAACGCAAAATAAGATTTGAATTTACATAAATTCTAGAATAAATTGGGTGTGACGGAAAAGTGAAAATTCAAAAGCAAACCCTGATTTCTTTTCTTGGATTCCAGCTTCGTCAAGAGATCCAGTGACGCGAGAATGGGATTGGGATCGATGTCGTCTTTATCGTACTTACATTCATACGGAAAGACGTACTTGCAGTAAGTTTTCTTCAGAGCAAAGCCTGCACTGGTTGATCCGCCGAATCCCATCGTAGAGCTTACATCTCGCCATTGCTTCAGTTTACAGACCTAATCGTTTAAAATGACAGAAAATTAATGTCTTTTAACGTTTTAAAATATATTTTTAAGCTAATTTCTTACAACATCTTTGATAATTTTCAACAATTTCTTTATAAAATTTCGAAATGAAACCGCCATGCTAGTCCGACCCAACCAACCGTTTCTAAGCCGCCGTAACTTTTAACAATGGTGTAGAGTTTGTAGAGATCAACGGTCTGCCTGCAGACTACCGGCATGACGGTGACTGGATTGTTGGTCTCCCTCATGTAGGCGAACAACTGGTTCAGGAAGGGTTTCCTCTCCGTCTCATCTCCCATCGACACCAACTTGTTGAAGATGTTGGTCTGCGCCATCTGCGGTTGAGAGGAAGAGAAAAAAGTTATATAAATAGTTTTTGTTTCAATGCAAAAAATTATATATTTTTTTCAACTGACTTGACTTTCTTGTTGAGGAGTGCAATTTGAAGGCTGGTTGGTGGATTTTTTAGATTTCGAGGAGGTACCTGAGTGAATGAATGGACGAGTGAATGAATAGATGAACGAATGAATGAGTGCGTGATTGGATAAACGAATGAATGAATAATGGAATGAATGGATAACAAAGTGAATGAAGAAGAAAATATAAACCAAAAATTATAGTTTGAAATAACCTGAAACAAAAACTACTCCGTGCATCCACGTTTTGATTAAAAACAAAATTACGATAAAAAAAAATTCATACCAGCTACATTTAAGCTGAAGGCACGCGCACACAGTCATTTCTACAATAAAACTTAAAATTAGTAACCCGATTTTTTCGAACTACTTGGAATGTCTGAATTGCTGTTTGAGTTTGTGTGAGAATCCTGATCTAGATCTGACGGTGACGACAAGCGGGTGTCTTTACTTTTAGTCTTTTTTGATTCTTTTTTCGGTTTTATTGGTATTTGTTTTTTAGTCGAAGAGCTGGAAAAGTTGGAAGCTTGAATGATTTGACTAAGAGCTGACGGTTCTTGGTGTTCCATAGTTCCATTACTTTGATACAAAACCCTGGCCACAGTCATGTTATCAGGAGTTACTTTAGGCATATAACTCTGCGGAGTCTGTGCATTGTGTGTTATGTATCCGTTCATATCTTTGTATGGCATTTGCATGTTGAAAGCTAGTTGGATGTTTGGGCTGTTGTTGGGTATAAATTGGCCCTGGTGCCATATTTGCTGGGGTTGCTGAATTGTCACACCCGGATAAGCTTGCTGGACGACGATGTTGGTCGGCCCGATGGCTCGAGGCCGAATGGGCATCGATTTGAGGGTCATTTTGTAGTTCATCATGTTCAGTTGCTGCTGTTGCTGTTGGTTTTGATTGAAAGTCTGATTCATAGAGTACTGCATATTGCTCATGTTCATGTTATTGTTCATGATCATGTTCATATTATTGTTCATGTTCATATTATTGTTCATGTTCATATTATTGTTCATGTTCATATTGTTGTTCATGTTGATGTTGTTGTTCACAATCATGTTGTTGTTTATGAAATTGTTGTTAGCACTGCTGTGGTTGAAGTTGATTTGAATGTTGTTGTTGCTACTGTGGAAAGCATGATCGCTGCCCTCAACAACTTTTAATGAATTTTGATGGAGTTGTTCATTCTGTTGACTGTTTTCTGATCAAACATTGAAATATAATAATAAATGCTTGGCATTGAAAGCACCATTGTGTATCATTATTTTATAAAAATTTTGTTATAAATATCCCGTAGTGAAAAATTGCGAACAAACCGCTTGCTACATAGGAGCGGACCGGCCCTATTATTTCTTGCTGGGCTGCTATCTGCAATTTAAAAAAAAATTCTTTTCAATTTTCACTCAAAATGCCTAACTAATATTTTGGCATCATATTTTCCCACATACTTCCAAACGAAAAAAATAACAGATAAAAAAAATTTTACCAGCGGAAAAACCTCAAAACGAAAAATTGATGAAGATGCTGAAGGCGAAGGGACGAAATGAGCCGACCAAGCAGAGCAGAAAAAGAAAGTTTTGCCGCGACAATTCAACGACAAAAGTTGCCTTTTATAGTCCGTCAATTGAAAACATTATATGCGTATAAGAGTCAACACACTCACTATATACCAACTGTTTATATGTTACAAAGTGTTTACGTAAGTTCTACCACACATATATATAAATATCTATATATATATATATATATATGTAGGTAGGTATGTTTACTAATGTATACACGTATATATGTACGTATGCTGTATGGACGATATGCATACTACTGTGCATAGTCTTCCTCAAGATTCTCATGCTTTGTTTCGTGTGTAGAAAGATGAATGAATAATTGGATGCGCGCGCGCGCGTGTGTGTGTATTTGTTTGTGTGTATGTATATTTGTGTGTACATTTGAATATTAAATAATGTATGCATGCGTGTGTGTGTATACGTGCGTGCGTGTAATTTTTATTCAGCGCAAACAAATTTTTTGAAAAATATTTCGAATTACTCCACTACTTCAATCAACACCGACTAGCTACCGGTGAACTAATTACAACAAATGGGTCAGTATGACGGGGTTGTATGGGGAAATTTTAAAAGTGCATTTAAACTCAAACTCATAGGAACATAAAAATGGAATAAAATAAAAATACAGAAGTATATAAACACTTATAAGTAGTAATATATCCATATATACATTAAAAATGATGATAGATTGATTGATGGATGGATGGATAATTTGATAAATAGATAAGTAGAGAGAGAGAGAGAGAGAGAGAGAGAGAGAGAGAGAGAGAGAGAGAGAGAGAGAGAGAGAAGAGAGAGAGGGAGAAGATAGAAAAAAAATTAAAATGTTTACCCACCAAAAGTCAGAACTTAAACCTTTAACATTATTATTTAAAAAAACTGTGCGACATGACAAAACACCAAAGACACACGTACAAACGCAAAAGCAGGCTCTCACACACGCAGACACCCACGCACGCACACACACACACACAGGTAAATTATTTACGTATAAAAGTATATTATATATTGCATTTCCTTCTATTTTCGATTTTTCCCAGTTAATAAAATATTATTTTGTCCTTGGCTGTGCAAAAAAACCTGTACGTGAAGTAGCGTGCGCGCTTGCGTGTGTATGTGCGTTGCGTCATACATATGCATTAGCGCATAGTTTATTCGCATGCACAAATGCAAATGTACGTGTGATTGTACAGTGCGGACGTGTGAATGGGTAGCAAGGTATGTACGTATGTGAGTACGTCTAGGTATATAAATGTATGTATGTATGTATGTGTGTGTTTGTTTGTGTGTGTGTTTTTATCTCTGTGAGCGTGTGTAGTCCAATGGTTTTAAAAGCAATAGCCATAAAATCTATTATTTTCTTCCATGTAAATGTGTATGTATGCATGTACCTGTATATGTGTGCCAACGCGTGTATATATATATATATATATATATATATATATATATATGTATGTATGTATGTGTGTGTGTATGTGTAATTTCGTTTCGTTTCGTTTCGTGTACGTAGTTTGATGTCTGTGTGTGTGTGTGTGTATGTACGTATGTATATTTCTCAGTGCATCAGCATCCAACCAACCATGCTTGAATGACAACATTTTAATTAGGACATCCTTAACTAACATACACACTATCATTTATTGTTGGTATGTACGTAAGTGTGTATGTATGTATGTATATGTATGTGTGTATGTGTGCATGTATGTTGCATGCATGCGCGCTATGTTAGTTTACCTACATAAAATTTTTGGTATATACACGTACGATGTGTCACACACACACACACACACATACAGACACACACACACATACAGACACACACACACATACACACACAGACAAACACAGACACACATCAACACACACACAGAGACACACATTGAAGATGGTTTTCACAAAATCCTTACATTACATGTAGAAACAATATTGCTGTCACTGCTGTTGCTGTTGGTACTGTTGTTGCTACTGTTGTTAGTATGAAGCTGGCCTGGGTACGAAGACGTGGTCTGCTGTGACGACGATGAAGTTGGAAGCGAAAACGAGGCCGATGACACAATTACGGCATCCATAGATTTCATTTCTTCTATTTCACTAACTTTTTTCAGTATAGGAATTTTCGACGGGATTTTCTCTTCCAGCGTTTCGCTTAACTAGAAACTTTGTCGACTTTAATATCGATTGACGGATGTGATTTGATTAAATTCTATTTAATTAACTAATTAATTAATTGATTAATTAATTTTTGATTAGCCAATTAGAAGCGTTAATACAAAAAAAAACGGGTTTTAAGAGTTCGGTATTTTAAAATGTGACTGATTTTTTTTTCAAATGCAGCGCTTTATATAAATTGTTTTGACGTAACTGCTGTTATTGTTAATAATTCTTTGTTGTTGTTATGGTTGTTAATGATTCTTTGTTGTCGTTGCTATTGTTGTTGATGTCACTACAGAATGTAGATGTTGCCGTCAGTGATAATTTAATTTACTGGTCTGATGATTATGTAGTTTTTTATGTGTTGTGGTTTTTATACTTGCAGTTGCTGGTGATGTTGTTGTTGTTGCTGCTGTCGTTGTTGATGCTGTTGTTGTGGTCGCCACTGACGATGTTGTAGTTGGTGAAGACGACGCTCACGTAGTTGAGTTGAGGCTGGCGACGTGTCGCCAGTCAAGAAAGTTTTTAATTACGATGATGACGTCCTGTTGGAATTATTAATAATTACGTTAGTACGATAAAATGATAATATTGATGATGATGACGATGAAAATGATGATGATGATAACTATCCAGTGATGATGATGATGATAGCTATCCAATGATAATGATAGAGCTATCCAATGATAATGATGGAGCTATCCAATGATGATAGCTATCCAATGATGATAGCTATCCGAGTGATGATGATGATGGCTATCCAAATGACGAGGATGATAGCTATCCGAGTGATGTTGATAAAATAGACAAGATAATAGCGACGATGGTCATCATCGAATTCACCTTCTGATTCGGTTATAATCCGGTAGCTCCATTTTTCACCATAATCCAGTAGTAGTAGCAGCAGCAGCAGTAGTAATAGTAGTAGTGTGTAGTCGTAGTAGATAGAAATCGTAGTAGTAAAAGTAGTAGCTTCAGTCGGTAGAAGTTAGGAGACGAGAACAGTAATCCAAAAATCCGGAAGACATGTGCACGCGTGTCTCTCTTTGATTTCAAACTCCCACCAACCAGCCAGCCAACAATAACATTCGAGGCTTTTAAAAGACGATGATGGTGGCGATAATAACTCTTACATTTCTTTGGTTGAGAGAGAGAGAGAGGGGGGGGGGAGAGAGAAAGAAAGAGAGAGGACAAAATTAAATTTTCTAATTTCAAAAATGTTGCTAACGCACAGACGATAGTTGTATCACGTACAATAAACCAACATATATATATATATATATATATATATATATATGTATATATGGATAGATAGATAGATAGATAGATAGATAGATAGATAGATAGATAGATAGATAGATAGATAGATAGAGATAAATAAACAATATAGCAAATGCCTGGTTATATATTATAGAAAGAGTATAGACAAAATGAAACGTTTATACCACACGTATATGCATTACTACATTACGACAAGATACATGTTTCCACCATATCTCAGTACTTAATATATCAACATTATTTACTAACACGCACGCACAAGATAGTGCGTAGTGTGGTATGTACACGCGCGTGTTGTGTATATATATATATATATGTATGTATATATATAACAGGGTTTCTTGGTCTTTCGTCAATGATAAAAACTATTTCAATCTTCTCTTTGCTCCATTCTCGCTCACCGTTCCGTTCAGTGTTGGCTGGCGGGGATGTCGATGATAATAATAACAACAACAACAACGGTAACAACAAGAATAATAACGTGAAAACAAAACAACCGACTTAGGCAGACGACGACGAAAATAACGAACCAATACTACTACATTCGCCTGCATTCAGCTCTGTTCAAAACCAATTTTATTTCCTATATGATATACATACATACGTACGCTCTATACACACTTACACTCTTATATACACATTACATACATACAAACGTGCATACATACATACATACCGTCTATACACTTATATACACGCTATATACAATTGTATACACACATATACACATACATTGCTTATACATTAATATAAATTCATACATTCAACGAGTAGCTATAACACGCATATATACTATACATACATGTTCAAAATACACATATATACACACACATGTAAATATACATGTATATATATGTATACACATATACATATATACACATTCGCATATAGGTGTATTGCATGTAAAGTTCTATTCATGTTGGTTCTATGTGCGTCATGCCTTATATATGTCTATATAATTATCATATCATATAGACATATATTATTATTGCATTTATATATTTAATTATAGTTGGTATGAGCTATATACATACACACACGCACACACACACACACACGCACACACACGCACATATATATACAATTTTATTGCGTTACGTATAGCGCACGCATTCATATATGCTGAGTTAGTATGCGTGTGTGAAGCGTTCATGTTATAATAACTAGATTGGTAGGATAAATAATTAATTAATAATTTCAGATTAATATTATTTATAATAAAATATTACAAAAACATATATATATATTTGTATATGTATAATATAATATATTTAAAACAATATTGATAATATTATTATTTATTTCTATTATTATTTATTTCACCAAAGATAGCAAAGATGTACAATCATATGCAACGATACACAGGCACACACACACACACGTGAACACACGCACACAAACACATAAACACACACGTGAACACACACACACACACACACGTGAACACACTAACAAAGCATAGCGCTATTTAACATATACATTTATATATATCCTATGCTATAATACACCTATATACATATATATATATATATATATACGCGTATTTTATATATTTGTATATAATTGTATATATTTGTATATAATTATATACCCAGTATAAATGTATACATAAAACCTAATATACAGAAAGAACCAACCAACACAAAGCTCTGTCTAAACACCACAACACAGCTGAGTCTCATTAGCATAAATTATGCAAGTACATATGAATACACAGCCTGTGTACAGCCTTCTGAACGTATACACGTTGTATACATGTGAGTATGTATGTATGTATGTATGTATGTATGTATGTATGTATGTATGTATGTATGTATGTATGTATGTATGTATGTATGTATGTATGTATGTATGTATGTATGTATGTATGTATGTATTTATGTATGTATGTATGTATGTATGTACGCAACTGTTGTACGCTCTCTAACGCCAAAAATTATTTAATTGCGCCTTAATGTAGAGGGATTAAAAAACGTAAAAATTTTTGGCGCTAATTTGAAGTAACGTCTGCTCAGGTATCCGTCTCGTATCGATACCCAGGATGGAAGGATGAATAACGATACTACTCCTCCTTATGTGACGTTTAGTCGAACCATTTTATTTCATTCTGTGCGATGGTAAAATGCGGCAAGCTTCGTTCGTGTTTACTGTTGTTATATAAATGTGTATATATATATATATATATATATACATATATATATATATATATATATATATATATATATATATATATATATGCATATGTGGTGTAGTGTGTAGATAAGTATGTATAGGAGCTGTATGAGGCTTGTATATATATATATATATATATATATTGTATATATATATGTACACACGCATATATATATATATATATATACATTGTACATGTACAATTGTACATACACAAATTTTTACTTAAATGTATGATACATTTTCATAGTAATGTAAGTAGGTGAAGCGTAATTACTCTGTCAAATATTCACGTACGATTGTGTATAGAATAATAATTTCTTTGTCCTTTAATTATTTTTTCACCCTCAGTCTCTTCATCTCATTTGACAATCATTAAAAATTAAAAAAACTGTTTGCCAGATCGATCGGACAGATTCTAAATGAATGCTATCACGTTCTACGTGCCTGTATGTGTGCGTGTATGTGTTTGTATATTTGAGAAGATGTGTGTAGGTAGATAGGTAAGATGTTGACCTTACGTTGACCTTCTGACCAGCTGACAATCCATGTTAAAAAATAATTTACTTTGATTCGCTAGGTTGATGAGTGTTAGCTCAGACGGTAAGGTCGCCTTATTTTTTGCGTCGCTGTTGAGTGGTCAGTCCGAAAATGAAAGACTGGCATGTGTTTTGTGGGTTTTGCCTTTTGCGCGTATGTACACACATGTATTCTCACTCACACACATATATCCATACTCACACACTTCCATACTCTCTCACACACATCCACACACCTCTCACACACATCCACACACCTCTCACACACATCCATACACACACACACATCCATCCATACACACGCACATCCATACTACGATAATGTTAAATGATTGCTTTGTGGATTTTATCTGAAGAATTTTGAAACAAACTCGTCTAAACAGTTTTTTCATTAAATATTAAAATGAAATAATAACAATTTCAATAAATTATTTATAAAAAGATAAAAAAAATTTACCCAATACAATCATAAAAGTTCAACAGGTGTACAAATGACATACGTGTAATAATAAGAAAGCGATGTAACAAAAATGATTCGGTAATTGGGACATCACCGAACTACCGATACCATTACTATATAAACCGATATGTAGTCCGATATTAGAATCGTTTTTAATCGATTGGTGGAAGTGGAAGTTTTGGGCCGTTGCAAAATTTGACTCATGTTGTTGTTGGAGGTTTAATGTGTTGTGCTCGCTACTACTGTTTGGTTCTTGACTGGTATTTAAAAATTGTTGATTGACATCCTCGCCATATTTTGTAATTTCATAATTTTCTGTTGTTTTTCATTGTAAAATAAATTTAATTACAATAAAATAAATCGTTAGTTGATAAATTAATATGACATACATTCAAACATTGTCGTTAAAAACTCCGAGAAACAATAAAAATTGAATTCTATAATATCCCCAAAAAACCCTATAAACGCCAAATACCCAACCTCTTTTTATACAATGTATAATCCCCGGAAAAAAACAAAAATGCTAAATACCTGACCTGTTTTTATACCATGTAAAATACCCAGAAAAACCCAAAAATACTAAATACCCAGCTTGTTTTTATGTCAAGCAAAATACCCAAAAAACCCAAAAATACTAAATACCCAACCTCTTTTTATATCATGTAAAATACCCCGAAAACCCCAAAAATACTAAAAATACCCAACCTGTTTTTATACCATGTAGATCGCAGTCGGCCACATAATCGTACCTAAGGAGGAATGGATCTCTAAGGACTATTTCCAAATATCGCGCCATTAAATGGCCAGACGTCACGCCACAGTGGTTTTGAAATATGTTGTAGTAACAGCGTTTCAGCCGACCCATTTCTCTATGACATTTTGGTGATAATTATCATAATAAATTAGAATAATATTATAATTATGATTGGATATAATTATAGTCAATGAATAAGCTTTTATTATGAATATTTACCACTA